GCTGTCGGACGAGTGGCTTAGAAATGACAGCAGTTTGAATTTGGTTGCTGGTTTTTCATCTCACCCTATTTTAGAATTTACAAAGTTTCTGTGCAGTAAATTATTTTCTTTAAAAATATTGATATTTTGTGTGGGGAGGTACCAGAAGGAGTAGACCGATTTTGCTCATCTTCGAACTCGATCTAAGTTTGACAAACATATTACAATGTACCAAGTTTGGATCAAATCGGATACTCCCTTCGAGAGTTATAGCCAGCCAGCCTTCCAGTCAGATGGGCGGACATCACTAGATCGACTCCAAATGTCCAGAAACGGATTTGGTCCAAAGAGACCTAGAGCCTAGAGTTATTTTGATGAGACACTTTTTGGCCGTATCAAAAGATATATACCCTCTCTAGCCATACGGCTGAGGGTATAAAAATTGCAATTGCAAAATTTTGTGTTTATAATTTTTAATACAAATTAGTTAGATTTTTATGTTAAAAAATGGCGTAAAAAAGAAAAGAACCTAGACCTATTTTTAGTATAAATAAATACCACAATGTCGCACCTCATCTTCACAACAATTTGGCCCTTCCAGCGAAAGTGATTTCCCTTTCTTCTCCGAACAAAACATATTTTGAATAAATGCAATTAAGTAAATTAATTTAAGCAATGCCATGTAATGATTTGCATATTCATAAAAAATACATGCGGAAAACATACACACACACACACAGCCACACGCACACACAAAAACTCCCCATACATTATCTGAATTGTGAGATTCATAGAAAATGTAAATGTTAAACGTAACTTAATTTATATGAATGACATTTATTCAACACACTAATACAAACACAAATTTGCCCATTTTACAATCCTTTGCATCATTCACGCACACACACACATTCATACATATATCATCATTCCCATACAATGGCCAGCAAGGTTTCTTGCGTGCCAAAAGGTATTGCAAAGTATGTGAATATGGGTGTGTGTGTGTGTATTTAAGAAAACGAAAAATTATTCTTAACTGAAACCAAGAAAGACCTTGAATTTGCATGAAAAGAATTTGAAGAAAGTTTTGTCATTTGACTTTATTAAATTAACTCAAACAATGGACGTAGAATTTTGCAGGAAAAGAAAATCCGTATTAAAGGGTTTCCGCAGACGGCAGTGGAGACTGCGAGAAGACCTACATGAGGAGGTCAGTATTGTGTTGAATAAAATAAAATTAGAAAATTATAATTTACACAATTTTTTATATCCTCAGCCTCAAAACGTGCCTAGTCGAAACAACGGTTATAGACCTTGGGTCTCTTTGTACCAAATCCGTTTCAGGACATTTGTAGACGATCTAGCGATGTCCGCCCGTTCGTCTGTCTGTCTAACTGGTGCGCACGAAAACTCTCGAAGGAAGTACCCGATTTGGTCCAAACTTTGTACATCATAATATTTTTGTCAAACTTAGATCGAGCTCGGAGATGGGCAATATCGGTCCACTCCTTCTTGTACCTGCCCCTGCACAGAAAGAGAAATAATTATCCGATTTTGCTCCAACTTTGAAAACCATAAAATATGCGTCAGTGCTAGGTCAGGTGTGAAAGTGGACAATATCGGTTCACTCCATCAAGTGCCTCCCCCACAATTGGTCAAAATTTTGAATATAAAATATGATGTAAGGATCCGAATATCTTAAAATTTCACACATTCCAATATTTTTTTTAAACCGAGATATGTTGATAAGATGGAATATATCGATCCTCTCCTTCTGCTACCTCCCCCACAAAGGGTTTACATTTTAAATATCTATGAAGCTCATCTGATTCCATTCAGATTTGGCACATCAAAATGTTTCTATTAACACTAGATCTGTTATAAAGGTGGTTGAGATCGGACCATTCATTATGATATCTCCCCCCCAAGGGGTAAATTTTTTTAATAAATAAAATGATTATAATGTCCGTAATAATCATCCGGTTCAAGATGGTAGAGATTGGACCCCCCCACATAGGGTTCAAATTTTGAAAAACAAAAGCTTAATCAAAGAGACATAAGCATCCAACTATTTTCAAATTTCAAATTTTTTGCTAACACAAGATATATATCTGCGAACCCCTTCTGGTACCTCACCCACAAATGGTCACAATTATCAATTCCTTTATTTGTCATTCATTATGATTTCCCATAAAATTGGAGATAAATGTTCGATTTTCTTGTCATTTTGTCCATATAAGTATTTTTAACTGTATTTTTGGTCGACTATATCTGGTTATTCACGCACATTTTAACATTTTCTCAAAATTATCACATACTTCATATAAAGTGAAGAAGGTAGTCGATGTAGTCCAAGCCTGACACGTCGCAATATATGTATGATAATAATATAGGTCCGACTATATTGGCTCATATCTTCGGAACCTACTCCATAGAGAGTCAAAAATTTGATTAATCACACCAGAAGTCAAAATATGTGTAAACAATCGAACATTGGCTATCAGCAAGCCCGACATACACTTTTTAAAAAATCTTAGAATTCTTAAAATTCTAATTCATTTCTACGACACTCGTCCGACAGCTTTTAAAATTGTTCCAGTGACAGATCATTATATTCCTTACAAGCGTACAAAAGGATTTTGGTGAGCATTTTCCAAAAAAAAAATGGAATTTGATGATGGAATTCAATCGTGATAGTGTCATTTCTTTATATTTGGTTGGAAATCCACAAGTGGATATCGCTAGAGCACTCCAGCATTTAAATGTGAATAAATCTTTTATGTCTCGTACCATCGCTCGTTACCGTGATACTGGTAGCGTAGCCCGATGTCAACGATGAGGACGGAAGAAAACAGCAACATCAGCAGAAATATTCTAATCAAAAATGCTCTGTCTATTTGAAATTATTTTCAACAATTTTTGTGTGTCAAATTTTGACATGATTTCAATATAGCGTAGGACATCTGTCCTACGCCCCATTAGGGAAACTTATGCCCAACTTAAGAATGCTAGCTCTATGTGTTTTGCTGAATACAATAAATGACATTTCTTAGTACCTTTTAGTACACTAATAATTCGTATCTCTAAAAACTAATGCTTATCTTATCCCTATATGCTAATATTGACCCACTTGCTAGATTTCAAAATCCTAGCTTCGGCCGTTTTGACTGGGCGTTTAATCAGCCAGACACTGAAACATTTTCAAAAAATATGTTTCAAATAGAAAATTAACCGGTAAAGAAAGTCTTAAAGTCGGGTGGGGCCGATTTTATGATACCCTACACCACTTTGTTAATTTAGTAGAGCTCAGCATAACAATTAAAAGTTTTTACGGGAGAATTCAATCATACACGCTATGATTATAATTATAACTTAATGTTTAAAGGACTAAATATGCCGAAGCATTTGTATCTTTTAAATTTCGACTTGTATTGCCCATTTGGTGCAAAATTAATTTGAAATCGGATAAAAATATATATGGAAGCTATATTCAAATCTGAACCGATCTCGATCAAATTTGGGATAGATATTTCTGAGCTGTATTTGATATATTTCCCTGAATATCGTTGTTACGGAGTGCATATTACGGTTGTGGGTAACAAATATGACAAATCGGATTAACAATATATATGGGAGCTATTGCTATATCTGAACCGATCTTCACCAAATTTGGCATACTAGCTTCTAGACTCAATTCGGTCGTATGTGCCAAAGTCCATCCTATATTAGACATTTGGGGCACAATAAAATGTAAATCGGACGAAGTTATATATGGGAGCTATATCCATATCTGTACCGACCTCGATAAAATATAGCAAAGGTATTTCTGAACAGCATTTGATATATTTCCCTGAATATCGTTGTTACGGAGTGCATATTACGGCTGTGGGTAACAAATATAACAAATCGGATGAAAAATATATATGGGAGCTATAGCTATATCTGAACCGATTTCGATCAAATTTGGCATATTTATTTTCAGGCCTAATTTGGTTGTATTTGCAAGATTCCATACTATTCGGGCTGATATTACACGTTTGGTGCACAATAAAAGGCAAATCGGATGAAGATATATAAGGGAGCTATATCTAAATTTTTACCGATTATCTCCAATTCAATAGGGTTCGTCCTTGGACCAAACAAGTGGTTTGTGCAAAATATTATCTGGATCGGGCAATAAATGCGAACTGTACTTTGTTTACAAAAATTCATGGACAGACGGACAGACAGACGGACGGACATGCATACATCGACTCAGAATGTGATTCTATGCAGATTATCAAAAGGAACTATGGGTCTATCTCGTTTCTCTTTGCCTGTTACAAACAAATGCACAAAGACATAATACCCTGACCACCTTGTGGTGTAGGGTATAAAAATAAGTATCGAAATAGATGACGAATATGTGTAACTTATGAACCAGTGCCCATAGAAACCTTGGTATTGACGTCACCTTTCATATAAAGTTTGCAATAACAAAATCGGTTAACGCATCCTAGAGACCATCAATTATTTTATGTTTTTATAGAAATTCGTCCATAATATTTTGGGGGAAATATTCCTTAGCGAAAGATCTTAAAGATTGTAGGTCGAATTTTTATTTAAGGAAAGCCCGAATTCTTCTGAAAAATTTGAGCTGCGAAGTACCGAAATCAAGATGTAGCACTATATGGGACCTGTACTTAATAGTGGACCTATGTTGTCGATTTCAATATTTCTACAGGAAAACATGTTCTTTTTTTTCGAATTTATTAAACCTTTTCATAGAAGGTTCTAAAACGTTAAGTTCTATAAACACATACACACGTATTTTTTACAATTTTTCCTCCATTAATGAAGAAATGAGAATTGTTAGACATAATTTTATATTTTTTTTTATCCCGCTAAATATTTAACCTGTTTTTATCAAACTTAACTCACACGTGGATACTACTTTCACGTATTTCTGTAGGGTATACAAAATGAACAAATGTGCACACACGCATATATACATACATACATACTATGTAAACAACACTTACCATTGATTGCAAGACACGTGAAAATCTAGGAACCGGAGCCAAGAAACATTTCGGATTTGAATTCAAATGCAGATGAAAATGAAAATTCATAAATTCCAACTTTATTAGAAAATGCAGAGCACTGAAGAAGACAAACACAAGCAGTTGTAGGAACTAAGTTGAATGTTTCCAAAAAAATATACACACACACGCTCAAAACGGAAATGCTGGCACAATATTCACACACATGTGAGTACGTTCGGCCAGGCGTCTGTTTACAAATGCCAGCAAGTTCAAGGATACACTTATTTGAATGTCTCCACACTTGGGCAGCAGTTTATTGGTTTTGTTTTATTATCATATTCTATTTTTGTTGGTTGTTTCTATTGTTGTTCTTGTTGTTGTTGTTTTGTTGAAGAGATTTTCATTAACACACAAAAGACAGCCGGAGAATATCTGTTTGGCCGCATGGAAAAACAATTGCCACAACACCAGAACACTTTATCACCAACACTGGCTGGCTTATGGTGTCGGCACATATATACACCCGCCTGCCTGCCTGCCTGGAATGCAAGGACGTATGGATGTTGTTATCCTTCTTGTTGTTGTTTCAAATCTCCAGTTTGGTTACATATTTTGCTGTAGTTCTTGTTGTTTTTACGGATGATAAATGTGTTTGTTATTGTTACAAATTATATGTTGTTATTATTATTACTGTTGTTGTTGTTCTTGACTGAAACGATATCTCTGCCACTGTAGTTGAATCTTTTATATTTTGTTTGTTCACTTTTCCTTGGCTTTGTCCTTTTTTATTTCTTGTTGTCAAACACACGAATTCAAATTATTTTATTAGTATTTGTTTTTTTTTTTCGTTCTTTTGTATTTTTCTGTTATTTCATTTCATTTCATACTTCTTTTTGTTTTCTATTCTTTTTTTCGGTTTGTCTGGAAATAAATATGATTTGATTCATAGGAAAAAAATATTATTTTAAATTTATTTAATTACAACTGTCTGGAAAAATATTGCACAAGCGTACTTTGTTTTCTTTTTTTTTGGCGAAAGTTTGTTTGGGAATTTAATATGCTTAAAGTTATTATTTTAGAATTTATTTTCGATCCTTTGTTGGTATTGTTGGCTATTTTAAATCGTGCTCAGTGCAAGGTTTTGTAGAAAAACTTTTCGGGCTTCAATTTTTGAAAAAAAAGGAAATTTAATAAACTTTCTACAAACGTGTCTAGGAAATGAAACAAAAATATACGTGAAATAGATAAACGCTGGAATTGTAATTTTCCGATTTTGGTAAGTGTAGAAATTGTTTTGAAATTCAAAAAAAAAAAAAAAAATTGTCAGATATGCTCCACTAACGATTTTTTTTCGATGTCCGCAAATCTAGTTTTGGAAAAAAATCTTAGAAATGTCTTTAATTATTTGATTGGGGTTCGCTTAAAGGTGCGTGCATCTATGTAGCTCATCACCATTTGCCGCATCCCAATATTTCCATGTCCATAGAAATTACAACTCTTACGAAAAAATTAATGGTAGAAGATAGCACATGTGGCATTTTCGAAAAAGTGTTTTTCTTCGAAACTGGTAAGAGATATTGAATAACTTTTAAACTTTTTACACAAATCCAGCTCAAATCAGTGCAACTTGTTCGATATTCGAAATTTGTAACTCTCTCTAATACAGTCGAAAATACAGACTTTCCAAAATTGAAGTGAAGCTAAAAAGTGTCAGTCGGTTTTGCCGACCGATGTATACCCTATGCCAATGTTCGATTATTTAATTATATTTTGACTTCTGTTATGATTATTCAAATTGTTCCATCTATGGAGTAGGTTCCGAAGAAATGGACTAATATTGTCAATTTCGTATAGGACCTAAATAAATATGATATAAATATTGAGACGTGCCAGGTTTCGACTATATTGGTTACTTCCTTCACTTTATATGAGATATGTGATAATTTTTAGAAAATGTCAACATTGTCGTGAGGTACTAAATATAGTCGGCCAAAGTATTCTATTTTCATGCTTCATCTAATACAGATTAAAATATTGGTATGGCCAAAATAATAAGAATGTCGAACATTTATATCTAATTTATGGAAAATCAGAAATTCCATATTCATCTCAGGTTTCTGGCAAAGAGAGAAATATTGAGATATAGCAAATTGCAAAGAATCGCTGACTTGTTTCGCAAGTTATGACCGATAAAAATATTGAAACTTGTGACCCTTTTGTGGCTGAGATAACAGAAGGGGTTCGCAGATATATATCATCTTCACAACAAATCTTGTGTTAGCAAAAATTGTGTATGTGTGAAATTTGAAGAGGGTTGGATGCTTATTTCGCCTTCTTGATCTTTTTTTTTAAACTTTGAACCCTTAGTAGGGACGTACCAGAAGAAATGGTCCGATCTCTACCATCATTATAACAGATCGTGTGTTGACGAACATATTATAATATAAGCTTAATGGATATTCAAAATATTGACACTTTGTGGGGGAGGTACCACAAGAAGTTGACCAATAAATCCCATCTTTACAGTAGACCTTCGACCCTTTGTGGAGGACGTACCAGAAGGAATGGTCCGATATGTACCATCTCTATATCAGATCTTGTGTTGATAGAAAAATTGAGATGAGCAAAGACTGAATGCAATTGAATGTTAATTTCGCGTCTCATTAGCTTCATCGATATTCAAAATTTTGACCCTTTGTGGGGAATGTACCGATATATTTCATCTTCTCATCAGACCTTGGGTTAATAAAAATTCTGGAATGTGTGTAATTTGAAGATGATCGGACTCTTAAATCACATTTTATAAGAGTTAAAATTATTCAAAATTTTGACCCTTTGTGCGGTAGGTACTTGATGAAGTAAACCGACATTGTTCATTTTCGCACCTGACGTAGCACTGATGCAAATATTACGATTGGCAAAGTGGGAGCAAAATTGGAAATTTCGGTGCAGAAAAAAATATACATATTTTTAAAAATTTCGACTTTTTGTGTGAGAGGAGGATTTTGCCCATTATCGAACTCGATCTATATTTGACAATAATATTACGATGTACCGAGCTTGAACCGAATCCGATACTCCCTTCGAGACTAATCGTGCGCACCAGTCAGACAGACAGAGAGACGGACGGATGGACGGACACCGCTAGATCGACTCCAAATGTCCTGAAATAGATTTGGCCCAAAGAGACCTAGGGTCTAAACCCGTTATTTCGATGAGGCATGTTTTGGCCGTATCAAATGATATATACCCTCTCTAACCATATGGCTGATGGTATAAAAAAACCTTAAATGATGGAGGATATAAAAAGTAGAGTTGTTCCGTTCCGAGGACTCCGATCGTTTGTATTAAAACTTTGCGTATGAGTGATATGAAATATATGAACTGTAGGAAATCACTCACACGTTTAAAAAAACTTGTGATTGACTCAACTCTAATAAAAACTACAATCCGATCGAACTCATTTTTCGTTGACCCTCAGCCACATGGGGGATTATATGAGCCTCAATTCTGGATGTTTAAAATATTATTTCAGAATAAATGCCATATGACGTTAATTGTATATTTATTAATCACATTTCTTCAAGGTATATGACAGCCTTAATCGTAAACTTTTTAACCATTTTTAAAGAAAAAATCCGAGCCACAGGAGAAGATGTTTTAACGATGTTATTTTGAAATTATAAGAATTCTTGTTGGAAATTTTAAAATCTAAAAATTGTATAAATTTATATTTTTTACTTTTTATTTGTGACTATCAGCGTTCCAATAGGCCTTTTATACATTATTTTTCAAAGAGTATCAGAGTCTAATAGGGGACTTTTAACCATATACAGGGTGAGATGAAAAAACTTCAACCAAGTTCAGACGAATGCTCTCATTTCTGAGCCACTCGTCCGACAGCTGTACAAATTATTCCAGTGACAGCTCATTATATTGTTTTCAAGCGTACAAAAGCATATTGGTGAGAAATTTCCGAAAAAAGTTATTCCTGATGGAATTCAAGCGTGATAGTGTGATTTCTTTATATTTGGCTGGAAAACCACAAGTGGCTATCGTTAGAGCATTCCTGCATTTAAGTGTGAATAAATCTTTTGTGTTTCATACCGTCGCTCGTTACCGTGATGCTGGTAGCGTAGCCCGACGTCAAGGAAGTGGACGGACAAAAACAGCAACATCAACAGAAATGGTTCGAAAAGCAAAGAAGCGACTTTATTGAAACCCGCATCGTAGGGGCCGATAAATGGCTTGTGAGCTGAACATATCCCAATATTCCAATCGGCAAATATTGAAAAATGAGCTACCCCGAGCGATTGAAATTCCAAAAAGTGCAAGATCTTTGACCGCAACAGAAAGAAAATAGACTCAAAAGAGCTAAAGAGTTGCTTCGCTTGGCCGAAAGTGGTGGACTGCCGAATTTGGTTTTCTCCGATGAGAAAACATTCGTTGTCCAGCAGTTTGTAAATAAACAAAATGATCGTGTTTACTTGCCAAAGAGGTCAGCTGAAAATGTGCACCTTCGGTTGGCCACCAGAACTCAAGCGTCGGCCATAGTGATGGTGTGGTATGGCGGTCCACACCATCACAGCCGATGGTCGCTCTCCGCTCGTATTAATCAACCGTGGCATCAGAAGAGCCGAGCAACATTCGGACAGCGTGTGACGGTTTCATTGGCCGTTTGAAGGCCATAATTGGTGGCAAAGATGACTAATTCGAACAAATCTAAACTTATTCTAAAATTTGATGCTATTTACGATATTTTTTGCTTTCATTCAATAAAATTAAAAGAAAAAATGTAAATGAAAAAATGTAAAATGGCGTTTGACTTTGTTGCAGTTTTTTTTATCTCACCCTGTATGTTGAAAACATTGGCAGAGTGTATACATCTGTCGACAAAACCGACTGATACTATTTAACTTATTTTTTGTTCTTTACCTTTAAAACTTTCACTTTTAACGAGTCTTTAAAATTGTTAACCGTTTATTTAAACATTATTAAATTTACGTCGTTATTCTTCCTTTCCTTACCCCGTTATAGCCTTAGATTTTTTTTTTGATTTATTTCTGTATTTATGTTGTTTTGTTCAAAATGATTGATATTTTTCGAAAAGACAGCCATTATCAAAATAAAATTCTCAAACTGCCAGCCATGCTTGACTGCGAAGACTTTTGCTGCTGGAGGAAGATAATAAAATGCTTCGTATGGTTTATTTTTTCCAGGCGGTAAATTTGATTTTTTTTTTTTCAACAATTGTTTTGTGGCGTAAACAAGGAACTTTGTCGTTTTATTTAGGGAGGGGGAGATTTTAAACAAAATGGTGTTGGTGTTACTTCACATGGTTTTCTTTGGGAAAAGGGCAATTTTAGCCTGGGATGCTCGCAAAATTGCGTGTGCGTTTGCATTTGCCACAGGCATGGCTGCGCTAACCAAAAATTTGGTATGAGAGAAAGTCCGTGTGTGTGTGTGCGTTTTTGTATAAATTCAAAATGGCTCATACGTCAAGTGAGCTGACATTTGCGTGTTTGTTTTTTTTTTTCTTTTTTTCGTTGAATGTACCTTTTTTGTCATGCCATGTACTGCGTGCCAACTGACACACACACACACACTCGCTCACACATGTGGATGCTCAGCCATTGTTTGGCGTTCTGTGTTTCATGAAATGTTGCATGTAACTTGATAAGCATGAAATTTAAAGTTATTTGGCATTAACAACCCAAAAGAATGTCAACATCAACGCTTATAGCACCTAACTGTTTAAATGTTATGTACTTTTTATGATTTGCTGTTGTTGTCGTTGTTGTCGCTGTTTGAAGGACATTGATTAATGCGAACATTGTTATTACATTAAATTGTGTTGAAATTTAAATATTTCGCTTAGAGGCAATGAATGACATGCACAATAGTAAA